TTATTTTTTATCTAATAATATTCGAAACAAATATGAATTGTAAAGCATACAGTTTTTTGCATCATTTTAAAGTATCTAATTCCAAATGGAACGATACAAATTTTGTGCGAAATCATTTTAATATTTCCTGAGAAATCGAGTTTGAAATGTATAACTTTTTTTAAAATTTGATTTCTCAGGATTAACTGATTTCGCTCAAATTTTGTATTTTGCCATGTGTTAAACTTACAATATTCTGTAATCTCATTCATATGTGAACAGGTAACTTGTTTTAATAAATATATTTGATAACATGATACATAAATAACTAAAATGACGGTTAGAGATGGAGTAAAGAAAGTTTAAAATAAGAAAGGGCCCCAAGAGGCAAAGTTACGGCACTGGCACTTAGGAATGCCCTGAGGGCAAATTCTCACAGTTACACGTGAGGGGATGCTTTTCATTTTTAAATATTTTATAGTGTTAGATCTGTAATTTCAAATTAAGGAACATTTTCGATTCAGTAATGAGACATTTTTTTAATATTTGTGGTAGAACATAATTTATGATATTTGCTGGAGGACTAATTTACAAATACATAAAATAACAACTAAGAGCAGCACANTACAGTACAGAACCCGTTATCCGGAATTCAGAAAACCGGAAAACCAAAAAACCGGAACGAAATTCGATAAATTTTCCCGCAATTTTAAAAAAAAAATTTTTTTCCTCATAGGATTTTAGGATTTTTCTTTCTTTTTTGAAAGATGTTTACCTTACCATCATTTCAGAAATAATCATTAGTGTATTACCTCATCGTTTTTTCTTATTTTTAAGATTATTTCCAAATATTTTTTTTTTAGTTGGGTTTAACACTAAAAAAACGGCTTTTTGTAGCGATTCAGAAAACCGGAAAAATCAGTTATCCGGAATAGCGATAGTCCCGCTCGTTCCGGATAATCGGTTCTCTACTGTATAACAAAAGCCGTAATCTGAGAAATATGGTCCTAACAGTTTGATCAGGAGATAGGTTAAAAGTTTGGACCCCCAAATGTTAATTTTATTTTTTGTGTATTTCGCCATAGCTCGAGAGTTTTTTTTTAAAAAGGAATTTAAACTTTTTTGCACAGAGTTATAAAATTCATTTAGCCAAATATAATTCTAAGCAAAAAATAACCTATAGTAAATATTTATTATTTTTTATTTAATAATATTCGAAACAAATATGAATTGTAAAGCATAGTTTTTTGCATCATTTTAAAGTATCTAATTCCAAATGGAAAGATACAAATTTTGTGCGAAATCATTTTAATATTTCCTGAGAAATCGAGTTTGAAATGTATAACTTTTTTTAAAATTTGATATTTTGCCATGTGTTAAACTTATGGATGTACAAACTTATGGATGGAGTACAGAAAGTGTAAATTAAGAAAGGGCTCTGACCAAAAATTCTGACCCAAGGGCCTCGAGAAGCGCTCCTGGTACTCAGGAGTTATCTGAGGGCACATTCTCACAGTTATACACGAGGGGATGCTTTTCTTTCTTAAATATTTTATACAATTTTATAGTGTTAGAGCTGTAATTTCAAATTAAGAAACATTTCTGATTAAGTAATGAGACATTTTTTTAATATTTGGGGTAGGACATAATTTATAAATTCTTTTTTGCTGGAGGACTAATTTACAAAAACATAAAATAACAACTAAGAGCAGCACATTTACTACCAGTGGTTTAATTTGAAAAGAACACACACATATATATATATATTTTGGTGGTCGATTAGATTTCAAAATCTTTTTAGGTGGGGGATACTTTTTGGATTTTCTTTTGATGAGATTCTTCTTAGCGAAGTTAAAATTTTAAACTCAAAATTCACAGGATAAGAGTATTATTTTTGATCATTTTATTACCTCTTTAATATAATTAAAAAGATATTGGAGTTTTCAAAGAAATCTAAGTTTTTAAGCAACAAATCCTTTTTTTTTACAGTTGTATTGTTAACAAGTCTCCTTTCAAAGAAGGTATTTATACATTTTGCATACATAGCGGGTGAAACTATTCAATTCTGGTAAAAGAATTTAACTCCTTAGTATCAGTTTTTAAGGAATTGGAAGGTAATACCAGCATTGACGACGTAAACAATCTTAATAGGGGAGAAGAAAATGATTTTCCCAAACATAATGAAGAGGGAGAAAAAAAAAGAGACCCATGGATTTTGAAATATTTTATTGCACCCATTTATATAACCAATTCTTTTGTTCCCTGTATTTTTTTATTTTGGATTTTGTGAACAACAATAGAAATTGTTCTGTCGAGAGGTATTAAATAAATATAAACTTTTAAAATATAGTCTCCGTCATGTTTGAGAATAGGTGCTCTCACAGATAAATGGAAAAAAGTGCAAGAAAAACAGTTCTGAAAAAATAAAAGCATCAGGAAAAAAAAACATTGCAGCCAGAAATTGAACATAAACTATACATTATTTTAAAATTAATAATTATGCAAGGTGAAGTTTGTGGAAAGAATCTTTACACATTTTAATATTTATATTTTTTACTCTTACATTAGCTTTAAAAATTTTTAATACGAATAAATACACTAATTGTGAGACGAAAAATTAGATTTTAAAATTTTTTTTTACACGAAACCCCTAGAAATCTTAATGTAGATCTTTTTGCTAATGTGTATTTAAGAGGCAAAGTGCTATCAGCCTCAACATTTTAGTAAGTTTTAGCATAAAAATTAGTCAAGACTGTACTCTAGAGAAGACAGAGACATTGTCTGAAAGCTAACATCTGCTAAAGGCACAATTAACATTTTTTACAAAAAATATAATTTTTTTTAAAAATTTAATGTTTAAAATTTTTTTGCAGATTAAACTTAACACAACTTATAAATAATAATGTAAGCTAATAAACGTCATGTTTACAGCAAACACATGTATTAATTATTATAAATGTGAAGTTATAAATTTAACATGCTTATGAAAATTGATATTTAGAGAATCAAAAGGAAAATAACCTTTAAAAAAAAGCTTTTCAAACAGCTTACAAAATATGAAAATTACTTTTTGTGTTGTAAGGAAGGAGCCTAGAGTTAAACATGAATTAAATTTCGAAGGTTAAATTTAAATTTGTACCGAATATCAACAGTCAAATAAGTTTTTAATGCTTATATATTTTATCATAAACTTAAATTTAACTAAATATAACAGTAATAATCAGTAAATAAAATGAATGAGTTGCTATTTTTTTCTTTTTTCTTGCCTTTTCAATTTTATTCTCTTCATGACATTTTGTTTTTTTCTCGATATCATTCTAAATATAGAAAAAGTTGAAATAACACTAGTCTATAAAGGACTAACTCTTCAATAAAGAAATATAACTCGCTAAAAATGTCAAAATTTGGCTCTTTATTATAAAACAATAATTGGCAAATCTTTCTGATGAACCAATATAGAAGATTTCTGCTAATTTGAGTAAGTCAAGAACGGTACAAACACTGATTAATCAGACTTAACCATTGTAATATGTATAATACCCATAAAAAGAACGAATATTTAAGAGGACAATAAACTCTAATACCAAGAAACCCTATAGAAAAAATTGCAATCACATGCATTTAAAATTTTTGTTTAATCAGCAAGTTCTTCTCCATTTACTGAAAGCCATTCTTCAAAGCAAAATACTATCCATAGACCATTAAATAGAATCTACTAAGGTAAATTTTGAATTTAGTTCTTGATTAAAATTTTTCTTCAGTCTTTCACATTTTTAATATATAAGCATAAGTATATGCACAGAATGCATACACATATTCATATTTAGTTGATGTTTTTTGTCACGCTGCCACGTAATGGAAGGACGTGCTAACATGAACATGATATACATTTTCATTTCTTTAGTGATGATATTAATTAAAAGTTAAAGAAGTTTTCCTGAATATACTTTACAATAGCTTAATTAGTTTTATTTAAATAAAAAAAGACAAAAAAGTAGTTCAAAACAGAAAAAACCTGGTTCAAACAAAAATAATCAATAAATAGAATAGGAATACACAAGTTGGCAACCTTTGTGCTAAAATATAAACTAAGGCAAACAACGTTAAAGAGTACACAAATATTTATAAAATACAGACAGCTGTTTCGATGCTCAAAGGACAACCTTCATAAGTGCAACAGAAAGAAATGAGAGAAAAACAAGGTAAATAACCTGTTTTTCTCCCATTTCTTTCTGTTGCACTGATGAAGGTTGCCCTTTGAATATCCGAAACGGCTGTCTGTATTTTATAAATATTTTTGTGCTCTTTAACGTTGTTAGCCTTAGTTTGTAAATAGAACAGATTTTTCATTTTTCCCAACCTTGATTGAGATCTAATGATTCAATGTTAAACAATCTTATTGATACCCATTTTTATAGGATTAAAAAACTTAATGGTTAAAACTAGTTTAATTCCAGATTTTTTATTACACTTGCTAAACTATAACTAGGTATTTTCTTATTTTAATGAATTTTGCATAAATGTGCAAAGTATTCATCAGTTGTTAAATTTTTTTTTTTTTTAAAAAAAAAAAAAGAATAACTAATTTGTGCAGTAGATGGAAGAGAGATGTTTCTAAAACATTAATCAAGAATAATTTTTTCCCTTTTTTTTGCTGATACCTTTTTTGTACTTAGTATTACTATATTTAACAGGATAAGTAATATTTTTAAATTATATCTTATCTTCCTAAAACAAGGTCTGAGAGGTATTGGGAACCCATACATGACATCTGATAATAATTAAACTTTTTTTTTTTATGTAATATTGCAAGTAGTATCAAAAGTTGTTTTTAGTAGTATCAAAAACTTCCCTTTAAGCAAATATTCATAAAATAAATTGGGACTGCAAATATTTATATGGATTTCACATTAATTAACCACATATTATGTCATAACGTTAGATCAAATACTTAAAATGAAAACTAAAAAGTGTGAAAGTAAATTATTCAAAATGAAATCAAATAAACATCACACAATAAGTTAATTAAACAACTTTAATCAACAGAAAGTACATAATTTTTTTTTAAAGTTATTCGTTATCTTAAAAAAAGTAATGGGAAATAGAATTACAAATTTTAAAAAAGCATTAAAAAATTAACTTTCACAATTCAAAAAGAATTAATTTAAATATTGAAACAATAAGAAAGCATGCTTCTTTTAAGGCACAGCATATTATAAATTTGTTAAAAAAAATTTCATACTTATATTACTTTTACATATTTATATATATAATTGATCTCCCAGTTGAGTCAGAGTTGAAATGTAAAAAGTTGACTCCTTACAAATTCCAAAGAAAATGTAAAAAGTGCTACAAATAAATAGAAAAAATAGACAAAGTAAATTATTGTAATGAATTGTGAATAAGTTTTACAAGACAGTTAAAGAGAATGTAGACCTATCAAACGTTCTTGCTCACAATTATAACAGCTGATGGCACTAAACCTAAAGAAAACATAAAAAGTACAGTTAAGTAAACTATAAAAAAATATTATTTGCAATTAATGATATCAAGAATTTCCTTTAAGTTATTATTTTTTTTTTAAAACTTTGAATAAACATTAGGAGACATATCAAATAAGTTTTTAAAAACTACAGATAAAACTTAGATAACTCAAAGTAGTATACTAAATCAAAAATACAGGGTATTATTAAAAGCATGCTTGTGAATGTAAAAGGACAGGCTTTAGTTTCAAATTTATATTTTACTTTTGAAACAATGAAGTAAAATTTTATTTAATTTGTTATAATACAAATAAAATACAAATTAGAATGAGTATGAACTAATAATAGGAATTGAAAAATTAATTAATTTAATTTAAAGAATTATTATTTGAAAAAACTTTATTTGAGCTGGAGTGGATGAATAAAAAGTATTTTATTAACGATTTAAAATTTGAACAAGATATATAAATAGGGAGAGTGAGAACTAATAGTAGGAATTGAAAAAAATGAAAGAGGTGAGATTCAATTATATGCAAAAAATGTTAGTTTCTTTCTTTTCTTAAGATCTCAGAAGGCTATTGTTTAAGTATTATTAATACGTAGTATTACTAGTGCAAGTACTTAGTATTACTATTACAAGTACTTAGGTCTTACTAAGTCATTTTTAAGATGTTATATTTTTTCAGCAAAAAATTTGTTAAATAGACAAGATCTGATTACCAGGAGTAATTTGAAAAACACTCAATGTCACAGTTGATGTTTCAACTGGAATTGTAAAATCACATTACTATATCAAGAAATCAAGTTATATGTATTTGAGTTTAAAATTTCGCTTCTAAATTATTTATAGATTTTTCAAAAATGAAAAAGCACATATTCATTTTTTAAATAAAAAAATATCTAAATTAAAAATTTGTTTACAAAAAATTTTAATATCAAGTTTTCTTCAAATGGTTTTTAACAGGAAAGCGTAAGATTAAATGCTAAATTGTTTAATATTTTCAAATAAAATGCTAGAAAGCTCTTTTTAAATTTCTTACACATTTGTAAAACAGAAAAGCAAACATTTTATTTAAAATAAAAAAAAATATCTAAGTTAATTATTTTGCATAAAAATATTTGAATCTGTATTTCACATAGTTTTTAACCATGTCACACATTTATTTGAGTCTCCTAAACTTTGAAACTGGATAAGATAATTCAAAATTGAGTAAACTCACCTAATTCACTCAAAGGACAGTTCATATCACTAGAAGTGAAAACTTTCTTAGGAAAATTAGTCATGAGTGTAAATGGGCCATCGCCATCTGTTCTGTTCATCTCAACATATAATCTGACAGCAGCTAATTCTTCATTTGGTTTAAAAGTTTGGGTCAAACATTGTCCGTTAGTTAGTCGAATCTGTAAAAATGAATATATCATTAGTTATAAATACAATTTTTTTATTTTTTATAAAAAGATAAACTTAAAATAAAATTCTATAAAAGTTACAGATAATTATAAAAAAAAAGTATACAAGGTTAAATGGATTTGACAGCAGCATATAATCTTAAAGATTGGAAAAAGAGTAAGAAATTTCGCCGGTCCAACATACACAAATACCAAATGTACGACAAATTATTACTCAAATAAATGGGCAGACCTTGCAACATAAAATATCAACCATAATACATGCATACACCATATATATGCTAATTAATATTAATATATGTTTAACATGATTAATTATTATTATGGCAAAAAATTATTTTTAAGTTTTTTGAAACACAATAAAAAAAATTTTTTTTTTTGGGAGCACTTGAATCAATAAAAATTTCTCTTTATAGTTGTGCCAAACTGGTATTTATTGCAATATCAGGTAAAACAAGAATTTACAATTTATGGCATGAGAAGTGTTTTAATTAAATACCTAAAAATTTGTAAATATAGAGTAAAATATTTTTTTGATCCCTTAAAAAACAAATAGCTCTAATTTAAAAATATATTTAGCTTTAACTGATCACCCAGTTCCTTTGTTACCTTAGAGTTCGATGCAAGCCTGAACTTGATAGTAACTGTAAAATGAAAGCGTAAATTAATGATTCAGTTTCGGCTTTTTCTGAGGAAAAAGGGAAAGTTTGGAACATATGTTAATGTAATGAGTACCTAATGTTTCATATTCGAGTTGGGGATGAGGCTCCTGCCCAAAATGGATTGTTACCAAACCATTTCACTTTCAGGCATTGTTCAGTGGTTGTAATGAAAAATAATTTCTTTACAAATTTGTATAAATAAAATTCGGAAAAATACCTTGAAAATTGAGAATATAAATTTTTAAAAATTCTAATACAACTATTTCATAATCGATATTTTAATATATTTTGTCTCCAGAATAATTGTAAAATTTACATTTAAGCATCTAATCCAGTCACGTTTAGAGTAGAATTCACAAAATAGATGGCTCTGAAAATCGCACTGATTTGACTTCCATTTTTGAATGAGATGGCTTAAAAAAGAATAAATTTCTCTTTGCCGACACCTTCAGTAGCACGTCTCCTCCTGCTTTGTATCTTCTTCTCCAAGGAAAATTATTTTTCCTTGGTTACGATGGTTTCTGATTTCAATTGAACACAACGTTTTTTTTTTAGAGCAGTGTTTTCTTAACCTTTTGGGATAGTATTTGCAAATTCCTTCATCCTATAATAAGTATTATTAGAAAAAAAAAAGTCTAAATCCAGTAGAAGTTTAAGTATATTATCTTAGAAGGAAATTTTGGTTGATATCATACATTTTTCCAGTTAAAACCTGACATTAAGTGGATGCACTGTTATCATTTATATTTCAGAAAAAAAAACAGGCCTTAATTCATAATTTGCATATAATATTATTAATGTAAATATGATTATTAATATATTAGTCATAATATAATATATTTGCTATATATTGTTACAATATATTAGCTATAACTCAATTGTTATAATTAAATATATAATATAACTTATATATAGTATTAACTAAAAGAAACTGCTCTGCAATATAAGTTATATAAGAAAAGAACTTATTTCCTAAAGATTTTTGTATTTATATATATTCTATGAAATAAAAGAAAAGAATGACAGATTTGGTAGACCGCCAAAATTTAAAAACTGGAGAAAAGAAACCCACCAGGAACATAAAAAATAATTAAAAACTTCTTTATCATTCTCCATACTTACTTGACATCTCTTCCACTAACTACCATTTCTTTCTAAATTTGGACGACATTTTAATGCGAATTTTTTTATTATTATTATTAACAGGTTGTAAAACTGCCTTTACAGGAATTCCTTGACTCTCATTCACCATAGTTTTATCCCTAATGCCTGAACAATCTGCTGCATGGCAAAAGAGTAGACTAAATTTTTGTATTAAAATATGTTTACGTGTGTCTTATTTTATTTTTTTACAATCAGTAAGATAGGAATGCTATTCAAGCAAGAAAAAAATTACCTGTCGCGTTTTGAAATGTAAAAACAGTATGGTAGAGTCGAAATTTTTCAATTTTACAAATTTTCAATCAGTCGATTTTGATTAAACACGTTCTGGAATGTAAGTTGAAGCTGATAAAAGTATAATTGCAATTGATGTAAACCAGGGAATAACAATTCACGAGATTACCGAAAAATTAAATTTATTAAATTCGACTGTTTACGATAATCTGAAATGCCCAAGCTTAATCTTAAAGCTCAACATAAGGGTTCCTTACGTTTTTACGAACAGAAATTTGAGTAGTTGCGTTGATGTTTGTGATTTGCTACTCAAAAGTCAAGAAAAAGTATCCATTTTTGAAGAGCCTCATCCCCGGGGATGAAAAATGGGCTGTCTACAATATTTGTTTAGGTCTTTACAAAATAGTTTTGATGATAAAACTTTTACATCAAATAAAGAGGGCAAAAATTACGAGGACAACTTTTTTTTGTCAGCACAGAACCAAAACTTTTATGAGTGTGGAATCATCTACTGCATAAAAGATACTAAAAGGAACTGGATTTCCTAATTCATTAACAGTTTTAATCACAATAAAAAAATCGTTGTTCCTTTTCATAAAAGAATTAAAAAAAAAAAAAACTTTTTGAACAGCCCATTAGGTATGTAGGAAGTTGTGAGAAAGTATCGCAACATTTGATGAATTAAAGGAATTTATAAAATGTTCATGATAAAATTAACATATAGAAAGAGAATATTTAATAACCTGTAGTTTGCATTCATCATATGAGATACTAGGAGCAACAGGAACAGGAGCAGGTGCAGAAGGAGCACTTGGAGTGGATGTATTAGGGTTAGGCATTCCAAACTTCTCTCTCCTTGCCTGCTTGTCTCTTTCGATTTGTTCTAATACTTTTTGTCTAAAAAAATATTATTTTGATCATTATTTTAAAAAGAGTATATCCAATAAATCTGAACCAAAATTCTTGGATGCCACTGTCTTTGAAAATATTTTTATTCTTGTTAACCTTTCGAATCCATCATCTTATTCAAGTCATTTGCAATCAAATGACAAAGTGACCTCCCCCCCCCCAAAAAAAGGAAATGTTTTGCATTTACAATGTTATCTATGCATAATTATTTGCAATGTTACACATATTATTTGCAACTTTATCAATACTAATTATTTGCAATGTTATTAATACTATAATTATTTTCAATGTTCAACACTCATCACCATGGTGCATGATTCACATATTTTGGAAGATACTATTGTACACAAGAAACTTTAAATGGAAAGACCTAGCCTTGCTTTGGAAAATACAATAGTCTGGTCAAGACAGCAGGCTAAATGTTCGGTTTTCTAGATTTTCCTCAATGGATCTCAAAAAATAAAACCAGAATCAATTCTTGTTGAGTTCAGCACCACAGAGATAATGAAGTGCGTTGTAATTTTTAAAATGAAACTCACATCATTGCCAACTTATTAAATAATCCAGTTCATATTAGTTTCCCCATGTATTGGTTTTTTAATTTATAAAAATTCTTTTGTGGATTTTTCAAATTACATAATAAAACTTTTAAAAATAATAACATTCAATTCATGTAAGGATATTATCTTTTTATATAAAGGGATAATGGCACAAATATTTATTAGAAAGTTTAAAGTTCATTTTTCTATGAGAATGCTTTTGTTAAAATAATTTTACAACTAAAGAGATCATTTGAACATCTGTTCTTTTAAAATAGCATATTCTGGTTTATTTTAAAAGTATATTTTTGTAAAAGGATTTAATACATCTTCAAAATATATTAAATTTATTAGAATTCGTATTTGATATTTGATCTTAAAACCTATATGCAATATGCTGCTTAAAATATCAATAATAATATTCATTCTAATACATTAATACAATATTTTAGGTTTTTGACTGGAGACTTTCATCTATGGTTAAAGTTGATAAAAACTAAAACGCACGTAAAAAACCGAATGAATATAAAAAGATTTATTCTTCAAAATATAAATCCTTAAAAAATAAAGATAGTGATATTAAACATTTTACTTTGCACTAGAGGTATATATTTTCCCCAGATCTATGAAATGATTCACTATTTTTAGAGTGTTTTTCAAGTTTCAGCTGTATGAAGGAGGTTAATATTTTTTTCCAGGTAAAAAATATTTCATACAATAAAAAAAAAAAAACATGCAAGGGAAAACTTGTAGGATAGTAGGAATTGTCAGTAGGAAACAGAAAATTTTTATCTCAGTGTTCTGTTACCAAATAGAAAAGCAGGCTAAATATGCAGTGTACAATTGTTTCCTTTTGTGGTGTAGAAAAGTTACTGTTAATAATATTACGGAAAAAATATTACTTTTAAACTTGCTCAAAATCATAACAAACCACTTTTCCCACTTGCATAGAGACTAGGATTTTTTTTTTCTAACACATGAACAAGCAGATCTCATAGGTTGACAGAACTGATTGAACCTTATTCCAGACAATAATATTCGAAGTTAATATTTACATTGGGAATAAAACAGTCAAGAGGTCCTTCTCATCTTTCTTTAAACTTAAAACTAAACTTTGTAAAAATAGAAGATCAGAGTTCAATCGACATTTTAAATTTTAATCTTAAAATTGTATTAGTTTTGCAACTAAACAAAAGGAAATGAACAAGTTACAGCTAAATTACAATTTCCAAAATTTTGAAATAAAAAAAAAAAGAACAAATATACCTAGCGATTTTTGCTTCTAATTTCTCTTGTCTTTTTAATTCAGCTAAGCGTTTCATTTCATCTTCTTGAATCCTAAAATATAGTTTAATAAAAGTACACATAAAAATTGAAAAAAAAAAAAAAAAAGTATATAAATGATTAAATTTACAATTACTTTTGTCTAACATGAGTTATTTCTTGTCCTGTCTTCCTTCTAGTTTTTTCTTTCTCCAGAGCTTCTTTTTTCTCTTTCTCAGCTTTTTCTGCTCGCCGTTGCTTAATCAAAACTTCTAACCTATAATAAAGCAATTTACTTAATATTAAAGAATATATAAGAAACTTCTGAATAACCTATCCTTTAACTAATTCAGTCAAATATGCAACACTCTATAACCAGAGTAAAAAATATAAACACTATTTTTCCATACATATTTTATAATCCTATCTCAGGACGACTGAAGTATGTGCTTTGTCTCCTTGTTAACCATGCATTGGATTGGATTGTCTCAGAATTAAATTTTTTATCTAATTATAATTTTCAAAAAAAAAAAATGAAAATAAATTACACAGAAGCTTGTAGGTATAAAACTGAGCCTTTTTCAAAAAATTCCAAATGATCTTTCTAATATTCCATCCCTTCCTGCACCTGGAAATCAAAATTAAAGCATTCGAGCATCAGTTTGTTGTGGGCCAAGGGGTCACGAAAGGTAAAGGCTCCTCAATTTCATGACCAACGACATGATTGTGGCAATGTTTTCAGCATTTGACACAGGCTGTCTTTACTTTCTAGACTAGCTAGTACTTATTGAACTGAAGATGGAAGGATTTCAAGGCACTCCTGAGAATCGAATCTCAGTTCTTCACTTAGACAAATCAGCGCCTTTCATTTGTAAATGTATTCAAATTTAATTTCTATACCTTGAATTCTGAGGTTCCCAACCTTTTCACATCTGTTCCCTATCTTCCTTTTTGTATTATCTTGTGCAAGTTAATACCTCTTCCCCTACTGGTTAAACCACTCTACGTGTAAGTTTGAAAAAATCCTAATTTTATAAAATAAGATTTTTTCTTAAAATTAAAATCGGACGTTTTGTTATTTTTATTAGATAACGAGCAACTTTTTAAGAATAATGAGTTTTTCACACACAAATATTTAAACAATTTAAATTTAAAGTAATAAATATAAAGAATAAATTTAAAAAATGTTAAATGCAAGTAAAATATTTCAGTAAAAATTTTAAATATTCTCTGATATTTATATATATCTGATAAATACTTAATTTTATCTGCATATAATAAAATTGCTTAAATATCACTTTATAAAATTACTATTTGGTAAAAAGAACCATTGATCAATTTACAAGAATAAACACATTTATATTATTTTAATATTTATCACAAGTTTAAGTAATACAAATTTATAACAAATTAGAATGAAATGAATAAAAATAAACAACTAAAAAAATATATTTCACACAAAAAAGAAATACTTCTTCTGAAAACAGTGTAAAAGATGCTTACAGATGCTCTTGTAATATTGATCAAAGAGTAATAAAAATTTCAAGAGAAAAACAATCTAATACTCCAGATAACACTGTCATACATTTAACATTTTTTAGAAAAATTAAAGTATATGACATTAATTTTCTGGCTTGTTCCTTTTCCAATTTATTTCTAATTTTTTAGTCTAGTAAACCGGTATAGAAAATAAACCTTTCACAGCAAGAGAAGGGAACAACTGCTTTACTGACTTCTCTTCTATTGCTTCATTAAATTTACGATTTCAAAAGTGTCTTCCACTATTCTATGGATGATGTTTGAGATACTTAATTTTCATATTCACATAAATTAAAAAATCAAGGGAATATGAAAGGAGCATAAAAAAACGTAGAAAATAGATGTCCTATCATTTTATCGTGTAGGAAAAAAGTTATGAAGTTTTTTATTATTATTTTGTGGCGAGCAGTTCTGGTAATAGTATGATAACAAATGTAAAAAACAGTTTTAATGCTACTGAAATAGAATACATGGAAGAGGTTGAAAGTAGCTTCACTGACCCCCATAAAAAATAATTTATAGAGGAGGGGCAGGGTAGTAATATAATTATGTAAATTTATAGGCTCAGTTTTTGCTTTATATCAATGATAAATACATTTAGGTTACATTAAAGTTTACATAAAAATAATGACTAGTGACATACTTGGAAAAGAATGTTTTTTTAAAATTTAAATCAGTGATTTAAAAAAAAAATCCAAGCTATTTAAAAAAAGATTTAAACTGTGATTTAAATTCACAAACTCTGGTTTGTCTCATTATTTTCTTACCGTCATTTGTCTTTAGACACTGAGAAATTTTCTTGTTACAGAACTAAAACTATAGTATGCCCATTTCTGTACCTTTGTTTAATTCAATTCTACTTTATATCATTGAGTTTTCATGTGACCAATTTCCATAACAATATATATTCCATTAGATAATCCGTTAAACATCCTATTTTAAATCTTCAATCAAGTTTTAAAAACTTAACCATGCTGTTTAAGGGCCTTAATTAGAATCTTATTTTAGACTTAATTATTGACATATTTATAAAAACTTACAAGCCGGATTTTGGCAAAGAAATTTCTGGATGAATGCTAGAAAAAAGAATAGGGCGATTATAAAATCAAACGATTTAAATATGAGAAAGGTTATTTTATACTTTTAAGAATGGATACTTTAAGCATTTAACTGCAATAATTCTCAAGTAAAATATGAAATAAATCTAAACTGAAATACTTTTTTTTTTATTTGAAGATGGCAACTCAAAATATTATTATTGCATATAAATAAAACTTTGCATGCAGATCTGTAACCTACGTACTATCATTAAGAAAATAAATTATATGATTATCCGACATCCTTGTAATCACAGGTATGTAGGAAAATCGAAATTGGGTCACCATTTCAAGTTGATTTTCAAATGGATAATCATTAAGCTTTAAGTAAAATTACTCATAACAAGCATAAGAGTAGCAACTTTATTCAAGTATTTAGATTTTGTAACTGAAAACTATGACGTTTAAGAAAATATAATTTATTTTAAAGTTTAAAGTCTTTTTAGTCAGAAGTACATTTGTTTTAAGTGACTAAACACAAATGCAAATAAATAAATAATAATAAATGCTCACCTCACTAAAATATTTGGACCATATTTTCTGGATTACTGCTACATTTGCTTATTTTAAGGAATAATAATGAATTTTAGAATTTTAAAATATGGAATGCTTTATTGCAATTTTTATTTGTGTAATTACATTAAAAATTAACTACACCTTATAATAATTCTCTGATAAAAGCCAAAAATTTATAAGTGCAATTTTTATTAAGTTAGTGAGAGTTTACACAAAGCAATTTTTAAGATATATTCTAAATATGCCTCAAAGATTGAATTTTATTCTCCAGATACCAGAACATGTGTTCATTTAGTTCATTGCAATTAATCCTAATTTTATTTTCTGAAGTATTTTTAAAATTTGAACTTTGAGTTTTGACAATACACAAAATGAGATTATGAGGTTATTTGTCTCGGGTCACTTCAAAAAGTGTTCCAAACATAACTAGAAATATTAAAAATAATTTTTTTAAACAAAAGTAATTAGAAAAACTGGAAGAGAAAATTACTTTTTAACTTGTTCACGCTTTTCTTCTTCAGATAAAGGTTTAATTTCTTCAGCAGACTGAGAAAATTTTTGATGACCAGTTTTAACAGCATGAAACTCAATTTCTGAATCAGTGCGAAATTTTTTGTTGCACCTAAAATAAAAATAAAATTTTAAAAAAATGTTTAACTGTTACAAGGAAAAATTACTTTATTAATTTTACATATAATTATTAATTTATTTGTGGAAAAAGGTGCTCAATAACATTGCTTCTCTGTAACAATAAGAATTATAAATTCTGGTACAAAATATACCGTTGTTATTCATAATCATAATTTTAACAAAAATGACTATCTAGATTAGGACTTTATAATTTATGTGGTTATCAGATTTTTTGTTTTAATAAAAATGAGTACAAAATATCAAACATTTTACATAATATTATTTTAGACATTTTTAATTTTCAATTTTTTTTCAAATTGACATGTAAATTGACAAAATAAAAGTTATAGGTTTTTTTAAAGAAAAAAATAGTGAAACATTTAATTGAAAAGAAATCAGTAATTTACAACTGACAAAGAAATGTTTAACTTATTTTTTGAGGAAATAAATTTCAAAGAATGCCTACAAAAATGGTAGTAATACATAAGTCAAAAATTTAAATTAAACTTGAGTGCAATCAAATATGCAAAGCAGAAAATTGTTCTTTTTCATATCATTGTGTTTAAACAGAACACTTAACATTTGCTTAACTCCTCACCTACTCAACTAAAATTAAATTGCTCCAACGCCTTGATTGTGGCTTTTCACTAAATATCATTGATTTTAATGTTAATAGAAAATCTATACTGAACTGTTAAGTATATAATTATAATAAAACTGTTAAGTATGTAATTATCCTGCTGTTTAACTTTTTCACCAAAAATTTGAAAAAAGAATTGTAATTTCTTGGCTGAATTATAAAATTATCTAAGTTGAATATAACAGTTGATTTGTGTATAACTGCAGTCATGACAGTATTTTAAATGTGAAATATCTTATTATCTTTCTTACATTGGAAAAATAGGTAATCTCAAATTACAAAAAAAATAAAATATGTATAAGGCAGGATCCTCTTAGCACAGGGTCAAAATTGTGATGCCATGTTTTCAGATCATCTTTAGGAATGTTTCCCTATCCATAGCCAAAAGTCTATTATGCAGCTATAGTAAGACGTAAATAAAGTACCACTACTAGTACTGATTACATAATTTTGATTTTCAAAAATTTATTCAAACATGATGACCAGACTGTCTTTGACTTTTTAAAAACTACATTTTTAATTTAGACATTTTTAAATTAGATTAAGAAGAAAATTGTTTCATTTTTTCAGGACTAGAATGAAAAACATAAGGTCTTATTACATCAAAAAACTATGTGGCTTATGATTTTCGTTTTAAGTCAGACGAAAAAAAAAAGGAAAAAAAAAAGTTGTTTTTTTCTACATGAAAAACTAAGTTCTTAAATTTTTATATAAACTCATTATTTTTAAATTTTTTCAGTTTTGTGTTCTTAATTTGTTTACATTGGAAACTAGTTAAAATTTTGATTGACAATGGAACAGTGATAAATTTTGCTGGCACCAGTTAAGAAACAATTTTTTTTGTTTTGTATTCACACCAGGTTCTGAATTCAAATTGAAACTTGGACACCATAGATAGCTAGAATATTGATTGACCATATATATTTTACAGTCTGGAAGCAATTATACATAATTCAGGAATGAACCTTAATTAATTATAATTGGAGAAATTACATATAATTACATTGAAACTTCCATTCCTATCAGACATGGAGTTCTAACATACAGCTAGTTAGAAATTGGTAAAAATTTCTGTTGCAAGATTCTACTCAAAAAAGACAGAAAAGTGATCATAAAAACATAGTAATATTTTTCTTTACTTTTAGAGAAAAATATTTTTTATATTACAACTTTATCACGAATATTAAAATCCCTCTCTCCCTCAAAATCCAAAAATGAAGAGTATTTTACTAGCTTTTTCAGAATAAATATATTTTGTGTTATTAGGTTTGCCCGAGTAGTATGCAATAAAATTGTAAGTTTTATTTTAAAATGTTAAGAGATATCTGAAGACCACGATTTTATTTTTAGTAGTATGTATTGGTTCTGAAAAGCAATTCTGAGAAAAACGTTATGGATTTTATGATACGGATAACAATATTTTCAGTTTCCTTTCAAGAAATTTCCTTAAGATAAAACAAAAACATTTCTAAAATTTCATTAACAAAGAAGATGCATCAAAAGACATACTCATCACATTTGATCGATTTTGGTTGAGGAACTGATTCTTCATTTAATTCAATTGTTTCTTCAGCAGCATCCGTTTCAGTTTCAGGTGCTTTCTCACCTAAAATATTTCACACAAGAAAAAATAAATTTTAATACAATTACAGATGAAGAAAAACCTTTCATATAGATTTCTGTTTATATAAAAAAATTAGAGAAAAGAGCTTTTCTTCCATGGGGATTGTTTTTTGTAAAAAAAAAACAAAAAACAAACAAACTTTAATCTATACATATTTCCCAACTCTTTCGGTTTTCCTGGAAGATTTTACATACATATTTAGCGTGGTGCAAAATTCATAGAATCATATTTACTTCTTCATTAAATAAAAATGGTTTAAAATGATTTTGATGGCTGTTATATTTGAATAATTTAAACATATGTATAATTGGTTTGCTAGCTCTCTAATAGAGTTTCTAATTGATGGTTAAATTTTAACGAAACACCAACATTTAATCTAAATTTCATTAGCTTTATCTTACCACTAGGAAAACATCATTTTGAAAAGCGTAAAAGTTGGCAAGTATGTAGTATATATATAAAATAAAAATTGTTCAGACACATTCAGAATATGCTGAAATATTATACAGGCTTTCATAGAAATTTGTAAAAATTTTTTTGTCACAAACAAAGCTTGATTTTTCGCTAAAGAAATATAATTTAACAAAATTAAAATTTATATGATATTTAACTACACATATCATAAATACATAAAAAGTATATGAATAAAACAAAAATAAATAATAGTTTTAAAACCCATATTAGTAGATAATGTTAGTTTAAATAGTTAGAAGGTAATGCTAGTTAGAACCAAATCTAAAGTTACATTCTATTCGAAATGATTATATGCTAAGTCACTGTCAAATAATGTAAATATATGTACCAGATTAAAATAAATGAGTTTGCTTACATTACAAATTTAGCATTATAACTTTAAGATTTAATAATATCGCAGGAATCTTAAAAAATACAAACATTTACAAATTCAAGTTTGAGCATCCATTCCGTAAAAAAATATTTAAAAAATATGTGTATAATCAGGGATCGATAAAAGTCACATTTACAACCATCTTTAGGCATCTTTGCCAATAACCCACAGGCAAAATGGCTACATTCCTAACAATAAATAAACAAAACACATACTTTAATAAATAAAAGTAACAATAAATGAAACATTTATTTTGTCAAAAAATGCAATTTTAAAATTTTGAGTTGAAAGTGATAAATTAGTTTTCTTTTCAGTAACTTCTATGCCTGGTGTCATTTTTCTAGTTTTTCATTTATAAGTTTTTTCAATGTCATCAAGCCATTTAGTTGGTTTTCTTCCTTTAGTTTTTTTAATGCCAGAATCTTAGTCCGTGGATGATTATGACACAAAGTTAAAAACATTAATTAAAAACATCATTAATTATTGCTATTTTTTAAATTTCATTACCTTCTTTGAAGGCATAATTGTTAGTAGTTGCTATAATTTACCTTTGAAGGTGAAAATTAAATGAATTTAATTTTATCTTTATTGATGGTGAGGCTTTTTCAAAGAAAATTCAAGAGCTGAAAAAGCCTCAGTTACTGCTTTTCAGACCTATAAATGATATCTATGCCAGCCACTTAGGCCAACATTAGTTTTGAATTTTTTCACAATCTGTTTTTTTCAATGCCCTTTTCTACTGCTAAATTTAATAGTAGCAATGGATTCTCATTGATATAAGCTTCTTTCTATTATAAAAAGTTCAGAAAGATATTAAATTTTAAGCCAACACTACACTTAGTAAATGTAGTTTTAATTAAATTAATAAAGCAATTTTGGGTACAATAAATTAGAGCAGGGATCCCCAACTTTTATGCACTTAAGAGTACTTTCAGAACACAGCATAAACAATAAATTTTTTTCAATGCAAGCTTATAATTGGAATTTATACTTTTAGATAAATTTTTATGGCACATCCTCAGCACAACTAATTTTTCCAGTGTTAACAAAACTGGGATTAAAAGAGACAGGTTTTATGAAATCCAAGAAACATTTTACATAGTTTAGGTACACCAGGGATAGTCATAAAGATAAGTTTAAAGTTCTTAAAAGGCTTTAGATAGTTATCAAGCAAGAATCCTAAAAATTAAACTTTTAACGAAAATATTTTACCAAACATTAAAGTTCAAAATTCAAGAGACTGAAACCACATATTATATTTCGTGAAACACATATGTAAATTAATTTGATGTTTACAAATTTGTCTATAATATTTTAAGTAACCAACAGAAAAAATAAAATATTTTTAATGTTAAATAATTTCATTTGCATTGCATCCTACATACATTATAATAATTGTTTTAGTTCAGAGGTCACTCCTTTCATTACTCAAAATGAAAATTAGTAAATAGCAATTAACGGATATATCTAAAAATGTATTTTTAAAGAGATTCTGTAACTCTCTAAATACTTTTGAGAACCTTATTGCACTCATTTCAGAGTTCAAATTGATATTTTTGCAAAATGGTTGCAGTTTTGATTTGGCTAAGTTTGGTTTGGAGTGGGCCTTGGGCACTTTCTTACAGCAAGAGAAAGTGCATTTGCATTGACAAAAAAGCTCAAATGCATGCATTTGAAAATATGAGAATTAAATTTCATTTTTGATTAATAAAAATGGTTTATTATAATGATCCTCAAGTAATTAGAATATTTAAAACTCTGCTCTGGGCTCCTTGAGTAAAAAAAAGATTATTATTGATTAAAATGTTCTGTATGATAAAAATTTTTTCTTCAAATATTTGAGAAATTTCTGAAAATAATAACTTGTGATCAAGCATAAATAATTGCAATTACTTTCAGCGGCAGCACCACTTTCTTCTGTCTCCATTTCTTCTGCATGAATTATCAACCTAAAATATATTGAACAGTATAATGTAAATACTAGTAAAAGATATTTCTACACATTTAAGATAAGAGAACAAAATATTTTCAAAATTATAAACATTCAACAGAAACTGTGCCTATTATGGGAAATTAACAGTTGAAACATATTTCGCATATATCTAAAATTATAGACAAATATTTATGTTGTAAAAGTGGAAATCTTTATGTTCTAGATTCTAAATTTTTCCTTACTGATATATTTACCCTCAGTAAAAAATAGACGCATTTCCTGACACAGAGCTAATTGCAGCATGCTTTGAATTACAGCAGGTGGCTTTTTTAAACAGTTACAAAAGTTTATCCAGTAATAATCGTGAAAAAAAAAATGGAAAAATTCCATCCTTCTTGTTATATATATATATATATATATGTAACATAAAAAACTTCAACTAATCTTTTTACTTTATTCCTTTACCGAAATCTTTTTCTTATTTTAATGTTCAAAACTAAACGCTTTCTCACACTTTAATGATCACATCCTAGCTTTTAATCTTATTGCTGATAATCAATTCCTGTATTAGGATAAGAAAATGACCAAACACAAATTGACAAGCATCCAAATATGCTCAAAATAGAAGTGAAAATATTAGAATTGCCTAGTACCTGATTGTGACTAATAAAACTACCAATTAAAATGTAAACGCAAAAAGTACTTCAAAAAATACCTATATCCTGACAATACCTGTAATAGTACCTATATCCTGAAAATCACATAAATATGAATTTTTCTCAATGAATCTTGTATTTCTTTTAATTCGATTACAGTGATCTCCGTCAGATATGTTGTATAACTAATTAGAATTATACTAAGTTCAGATATTGTAAGCAACGAGATTATGTAAACATGAAAAAAAAAAATACTGATTAATATATCCATTGCCAAATCATGTGATATTATGTGATGAAATTCTAGTTTCTGTCATTAAAGCAGACTAAATGGTAGCTAGATGCATATAATCATCCAACTATTTTTCCAGAAAAAAAAAAAGAGTTTATGACAATAACAAATTTGGACATTAAAATAAACTTATTGTAAAATTGAAAAATTAAAACGGTTGCTAAAATAAGAAAATTTAACTTTGTTTTTATCTTTATAGATGACCACTTTTTAATAATAGATATAGTATAATCACCTGCACTCTTCTGGTGGTCATGGGCATGTTAAACCCAGTCCAAATTTCGCTTAAAACCTTTGTTAGTATAAAAACAAATGAAACAGAATTAAATTATTCAAATAACTTATCTTCGACCGCAATATTTTTTTTCTCAGTAAAAAATAAGTGAGACAGTAGAATTTTTTTTATTAAAAAATAAACGACTTAAAAGAAATATATTTAGTTACAAGATACTCGGAATTTAAAAAAAAAACACCAAATGTTGCTTCAGGTTTACCTATATATTACTACTCTAGTGTAAGAAGTTATCAAAAATTAATCCTAACCTATTTTTATTTCTTTTAATCAAAGTCTATAAAACTTTAATATTTTTGATCCTCTCTCCCATTCATTTGTTCATTTACTCCTCCCCGAGGGTAAAACGACTCTTGATTTGAATTTTTATTTTTAAAATAGTTAAATTTATAATAAATTTGCATTTTGACTTAAAGATTTCTATGGGGGAAAATTAATCATAAAAATTTGTTAAGATTATTTTTTGAAATTTCGCTAACACTTTAATTTGATTTTTAGCAAATTTACTGGCTAGTAGTTTGAAGTTCTTAGCGCAGGCCCAGTAAATGGTTAGTTGAATTTGCATAAAATTAAATTACAAGAATAAAAATACAGTGAAACTAAAAAGATATTTAATATGTTCTATTTTATGAATAAAATTTTACATATTAATTAAAATTACAAATTTGACATAGTGCATTAAAAATAACCTATTTTGAAGTGCCATTATCAATAAATACGCAATTTAATATACATAAAAACAATTCTTAAAATTTTGCTTTCTCACACATCAGAAAACATATGAATTAAATACATTGTGTTTAAATGATAAGACAAAAAATTCAAAGCAAATATAACGATACTTTATTATTATGCTAAATTTAATTTTAGACATTTTACATTAATATGCGATTGTCAAAAACGCAACAGATCTGAAGATTGCTCGCCCTGGCTACTTACTGTCCACGGCTTTAGCCTCACTTCAAATGCATAGTAAATGAATTGGTCAAATGAAATAAAAAAAAATCTCACTTGATCATGACCCCACATACGGATATATCAAAGAAAAACCAATTATTATCCATACAGTGGGGGAGAAAAAAAAATTTATTTACTTTTAGTAACTAATTGGGAAAAAATGTTGCCTCTTTTGCAGCTGAATGCAAAATAGTTGCCTTCGCTAATATTGTGGCGAAATTATTCGCCTTAATACCCTTATCTTAAAAATAGTAATTTTAGTTGCATTATTAAATGCCAATGCAGCCACGTAAGTATTATATTTCCAAAATTTCTGAAAATCAAAAATTGAATATTATTTTTTAATGCTTAAATCTTCTATTGCAGTTTTGTTTTTTCACAGAATTAAAATACAGTAGGGAACCGATTATCCGGAACGATCGGGACCATCGCTATTCTGGATAACTGATTTTTCCGGTTTTCTGAATCGCTACAAAAAGATGTTTTTTATTGTTAAACCCAACTAAAAAAATATATAGTATACAGTACAGAACCCGTTATCCGGAACGATCGGGACCATCGCTATTCTGGATAACTGATTTTTCCGGTTTTCTGAATCGCTACAAAAAGATGTTTTTTATTGTTAAACCCAACTAAAAAAATATATAGTATACAGTACAGAACCCGTTATCCGGAACGATCGGGACCATCGCTATTCTGGATAACTGATTTTTCCGGTTTTCTGAATCGCTACAAAAAGATGTTTTTT